TCATTCTGGAAAGCCTGGGACGTGGTGTAACCTGATTTACTCTGTGAAGATCTCCCTGGCAGCTCTGGAGGATGATGGAGGGGAAGTAGAGGGGAGTTAGGAGGGAGGTGTAGCTGGGTAAATAAGTGGACGAGCCACAGTAACAGCCTAAGATCCAACCTGCAGTCATTCCATGGACGCTAATATTCCCTTGGGAAAACGTGCTCTGGGGCTGTGTTTAGATGTGCAAACCTCTCTCTCCAGGCAGAGTGGGGCCTCCTTGTGGGCATGGGCTGGGGTGTGCAGGGGCCGGGAGGGCGTGCTGCACTGGCTACCGCTGTTCTTCAAGCCGAGTGTTCACAGCTGCCCTAAAGGAGGCAGAAGCAGCCGCTGGACTCTTGGTCCACTTGGTTGGAAGATGCATTTGCTAATCGAGGTGCTGAATGACCATGGGCTGAACGGTCATAGAAACTTTATTGCCAACTAGCCGTAAGCTCCAAACATCAATAAGTCAACTTCAGTGGCTTGGATGGGATTCCTTGACCTCCTTTTTGGTATTCGAGCAAACTTCTCAAGCCTAGAACAGGACGCTTTCTAATGTCCTCTGCTTAGTTGGGATTGGGTTGCCTCTTGATTTTGTTAACCCACTTGTGATTGTGTTACAACTGTGTGCACATCAGTGTGTGTGCAGGGCTGAGGGGAGTTTCAGTTAGAGTTTGGATGCTTCTCCAGGGCACAGAAATACCAATTGCAGAAGTTAACTTGTCAAGCGGGTGTGCGTGTGTGTGTACATGTGTCTGTGAGCATGTGTGCACGCTTGTAAAAAGGCAGTAAAAAAGGATGCAGAGGACCACAGCAAGCTGGGCCCCTTTTCTGTAGTGGCAGAACTGGATAGTGAAGCATAGTGAGTGCAGCAGTCCGTGCTTGGCTTGGCCAGAAGACAGGCCTAGATTGGGTGGCGCTCTACCATCTGGGCACTGCCCTCGGCCACATCTCACCCCCAGCCATTGGTGGGATGGAAGGGCTTAGTGTATAGCTCTCACCCAAAAAGCAGTGGCTGGATGCTGAGGCCATTTGTCATTATCACAGTTATGATTTTCAGTGTGTCCATCAGTTTCTAGGCATTGAGACCACAGCAGCCCCTCAGGGACAGGAGCCTGGTGAATGGACCCCCCAGGGAGACCCAGGGGCCTCAGTTATTCCCTTGCAACACAATTCTCTAGTCCTGTCGTGCGATTTTACTTCCTTATGGGTTATGGCTCTTGCACAAACGAGGACTCAATCCACTCTTCCTTTCTCATCCCCCGACCTCCTTCTCGCACCCTCAGTGACGGAAGGAACTGGCCTGGCAATGCCAAATTCATTATTCCACGCATTTTTTTGTTTAAAGAGCTTCAGGGAGCATTACTGCTTGGCCACATTTGGCTTAAATCATACATAAAAAATAATTATAGCCGAATGGACTGTATGAGCTATTTCTTTAACCCAGTTACCATTTATGACGCCCACGCATCTGTAAAATTGCAGGCAGGTGGAAACGGCCAGCGGGCCAGTCTGTCACCAAGCAAAACAGGATCTGAGAATTAGTTACAAGCGTAAAAAGCATTTGAGTTCAAATGCACTGGGCCAAGACTGAGCACTTAACATATAATTGGTGGTTGGTATTCAGAGAGAGGGAGATCCCAGAGTCGAGAAGGAAAAAATGAATACAAAAGGCACTGTGATTTACAGCTGAAACGTTTGCCTGAAATTTCTGTATTCCAAAATACTGTCACTGTTAGGACTGAAGGCTTACGACTCCGGTTATAGTGATATTTAACAGGAGTTTTATATTCTTTGCTATATTAGACACACTATTTATTATTATTATACTTACAAAAGTGTGCATTTGGCCTAGAAACCATTTGCTCTTTTGTTCCAAGGCTGTATTTTAAATGCATATGTAACACATCTCCGGTTTTGTAAAATCAGTACTTTGGAATGTGTGTGGGAAGTGGATCATTTCTGAGAGCCCGGACAGGTGGTACTCATCTTGTTCATCCTGCAGCCTCCAAAAATAGACTCGCTTGCTTGTGTCTCCTGTCTTAGGAGGAGGGCTACTCATCATCCCCACTGAAACCAGAAGGGGAATTCCTGACTCTCCCCACTTGAAGATGTGTTGCAATGAGAGGTGATCTGTAGGGCATTCTAAATCACAGGGCTGGAGTCGATCCTTACTCACCAGGCTGCCCCCTGCTATTTGTGACACGCTATGCTGCAGTGCTGAACTAAAATTTCCTGGGACAGAGAAAAAAATGCCATCAACAGAGTTCACCATGTTGGCATGAAGACGATGCCTGATGTCTGTTTACTGGGTGCCTGGTTCCCGATTCACATAGGACGCAAGGATTGATTAGCATATATGTTGGGTGCATTTCTCTTTTATTCTGGAACTCTTGATGTGTGTGTGAATGTGTGTGTCATTGTTTCCTGCAGTTTACTAGAGAGTGAGGGTCTCCAGGGCTGACGGGGTAAACTTGAAAACAGCACCCTGCTTGCAGACACAGCGTTAAGTCTGTGGCTAGAAACTTGGCACCTCCCCTCTGGGTGTCCCCTGGCTGGTCATGGAAACCTGGGGCTCCCCCAGACAGTGAGCGGAGGGCCTAAAATGTTGCCCCACTTCCTCTGGACAGATGTAACATGGGTTTCCAGGCTCTGATTCCTGGCCACTCTCGAGGTGAAGGCTGCTCGTTGAGCTCCCCTGACCCTCCTGCCGGCTGTGAATTTGCAGAGCCCATTGGGCTGCCCGGGATCTGGACAAACTCAGCCGTGTTGGGAGAAAGCCTCAACCTACAGATGAGAGATTTTGAAATGTACACAGTCATGTTGTCTGGGGCAGATTGGGTGGCACGGGAGCTCGTACATGTGCACGGGAGCCCACTCTGGGGAGGGCGGAGACAGAGCCTGCTTCCAGGAGCATGAGGCCAGTCTCTGCCTCCAAGCCTTCCTCTCTGCTTCTCCTTCTCATGTCCCCCACTCACTCTCCCAGGGTAGCTGCTGGAGACCTGCACATCAGCTGGGATGTAGTCACGGCAACTGGTGGCCATTGTCTGGCTGGACCATCCATTGTTGTCCCCATTGAAGGTGACAGAGAGGCAGTCATTCTTCTTCAGCCCACTGAGTTTGAACACCAAACTGCAGGGGGTTTGTTCATGTGTGCTTGTGTAACGTCTGTCCCAGGTGTGGGTGTGTGTGCGTGTGTGTTTCTCTCCCTATGACCCACCGCTGATATGCACCAACTCCTATGTACTCCCAGCTGCCTGGTTTTTGTGTGTGCTTCTCTCTCTCTGAGCCTGCCCGTGCCTGCATCTGGTTTTCTGGGTCTGGGTCTGTCTTCCTATGCCTGAACCCTCCGTGTGTGTGTGTGTGTGTGTGTGTGTGTGTGAGTGTATCTGTGTCCCTGTCCCTTTAAAAGGATGTGGGTGTCACCCTGTTTGTCAAATGGTCTCCTTCCTTCTCCCTCTCTTCTGCTTTTATTCCTCAATCCCTCGAGCCCCCTGCAGTGTTTTCCAATGGCTGTCATAACAGAGTACCACAAACTAGGTTCCTTAAGCAACAGAAATTTATTCTCACAGTTGTGGAAGCCAGAAGTCCAAAATGAAGGTGTTGGCAGGCTTAGTGCTTTCTGGAGGCTCTGAGGGAGAAACCGTCCATGTCTCTTAGCTTCTGGCATTGCCGGCAGTCCATGCAGTTCCTGGGTTTGGGGCCGCATTACTCCAATCTCTGCCTCTGTTTTCACGTGATCTTCTCTGTGTCTGTATCCAAATGTCCCTCTTTAAAGGACACCAGCCTTTGGATTAGGGCCCACCCATATGTCCTCATCTCAGTTTGATTACATCTGCGATGACTCAATTTCCAGGTAAGGTCACATTCACAGGTTCCAGCACCACTATCTCACTGGGGTACACAGTTCAACCCACAGCACCCTGTTCTCCGCCAAACACTGTTACTTACTTTTCTCCATCTCTCAGGTCCTTTAATTTCATTTCCCCCTGTTTTTCTCATTTTCTCTGATTTCCATCCTTTCTAATCTCACACCCTCCTCTGACCCTGTTGCTCCCCCTGGTAAGCTCCCCTCCTCCAACTCTTTCTGCTGCTGGTTCCGTGCAGACCGCTAGACAGCTCAGCGGGAAGGTCTGAGCCCCTGCCACTGCCCCCGACGGATTTATTGGCCTGTAAATACTTCCTTCTGGGAAGAGCAGCTTTGTCCTCTGTGCTGGCTCTCAGGGTCCCCTCATCACCTGCCCTTCTAGGCAGGTTGTTTTATTTCCCACCAATCAAAGCCCTGTGACCTCGTGACCCTAGTACACATGGCTTTCCTTATCTCCTCCCAGGCTAGTCAGTGTGATCTGGTAAACAAGCAGATCCTCAAACACCTTAGTCATTTGACCAAGTTGGTGAATATGTGGACGGTCAGTTGCTGTAAAAAAAAAAAATCGTTAATCATTGATCTGACTGTGAGGTCAGGAGTGGTGTCCACTGGAAACAGGTTCTCTGTTACCTCTGCCTTTAGTATGTTTTCATGCTTGGACTAAGCTCCACTGTATAGAGTTTAGGGGCAAGCAGAGAGCTGGCCTGGGGCATCAGGGAGATGGAATGCAGTAGCATCAGTTGTTGAAGTGACCCTGCTGTGAGGAAGGGGAAACCCTCTTGGATAATCAAAAGGGAAAACTTCTGTTCTCCTATCTTAATGCTGTGGCGGGCTGACCGGATCCAAGGTAGCAGAATTTGCGGTCGCCTATGCCTAGCTCCTCCTGGCCTGTTCAGTTGCATCTGGAGAGGTTTGGGGCAACTCTAAAGGAAGGTTTTGTGAACTAGAGAACTTAGCAATGGCCAGTACAAATGCCATATTTCACACGGAAAGGAAATGAAGCTGAGAGGTGAAAAACTGGCTGGTAATTAAACACCAAGGGAGAAAGCAATATTGTGCTTAGTCTTCAGAGAATTTTCTTTCTACTTTCATTTCGGCCTCCAGAGAATGAATGATGGTTGTAATGGTGGACCAAACTAACTTGGCCTCCCTCAGACTTAAATTACATACAAGTGCTCAATGAAATATTCGTAAAAGATGTAAATGCTTCGATGAACTTGCAAGAGAGATGGAGAACTGTCCAGGAGCCAGGAATAGGACGGAAACAAAATTGTGATAGCACTGGACTGCCAAGGCAGGAACCACCCAGGTGGTTCCACTTTGTTTACAGCCATGGAGAATGGCCCAGTTTTCCTGGGAAAAAGTTTAACTGAGACAGAGTTGGATTCTGCAGGTGTTGTGCAGTTATGACATGAGCTTTCCAATGGTGAGCTCTTCCGCGGTGTCACCTTGTGGCCATGGGGCAGATGTGGATGCATCCACGGGCTCCAGAGTAGAAGGAGCACCAATAGGACGAGGACACTTTGGCAAAAGATGGTGCAGGCAAAGGGTAGCTACAGACACATCAATCTTCAGTGTTCTGACGCTGGAATAGCTTTCACTAGAGAGGATACCCAGAAGTAGAAAATCCTGATTTTGAGATTGCATGAAATAACTAAACATTCTAAAGTTACTGATTTCACTGGAATTGGTTGTATTACATTTCCTTCAATCAGGAGAAATAAGGGGTTGAGAAAAAAATCAAGTTTGGTTTTAGAAAAATGAAGGAATTTACATTTTTTATGCCTTAATATAAGGCCTATGAAATATCACCCCTGCTGTAGAAACTATTCTGCTAGGCTTAGTTACATCAGAAGCCTTGGGTTTCAATATCATGCCAGAAGGCAACCCATGAGGCAGAGATCAGAGATGTTGTAGATAAGGCACTGTGGCTAAGTCCTAGGAGACCTAAGGAAACAGGGGGGAATTTTCATTCATTAGCCCAGGAGGGTGAGAAGAGGGCTTGCCTGAAGCCTGGTTCGAAGTGGGAAACACAGAAGGCTTTCCCATGAGAAATCAGACTTGGATCCACACCTCAGGAAACCAAATTTACATTACCAGAATGTTGTGGGGGAATCCTGAGCCCAAGAATCAACGTGAACATCTGACACTGCCTGTTGCAGGAACCTGGTCCTAAAGGGATGCCCACAGAAAAACCAGCCCTGCAGGGAAAAATTACAAAGTACACTCAGAGAGGCCCAGGATGAGTGATGAGCTAGTAAACAATGAAGCCAGAAGGATTAAAGATAAAGGAAGAAAAAGCAGTGGTGGGTTTGAAAAGGAACCAAAGAGACCTTCTAGAAATGAAAAATGTAGTAGACGAAATGAGAAAACTTGATGGACAGTAGACTGTGCTTAGCTAAAGATTATAAAAGGACAGGAAATATAAAAGTAGGTGAACAGTTTGGAGGAATCACATAAAGAAATTCAGCATATATCAAGAAGGAGATTTCAAAGGAGACATAAAGGGGAAGGGAGAAACAATATTTCATGAGATACTGGTAGAGAATTTTACAGAATTGATGGAAGGCATGATGTTGGAAATGGCACGGAGGCCCGTTGAGGCTAAAATAAAACTAAATTCACAGCTAGTGATACTTCAAAATGGCAAAGACAAGGGGAAATATGAAAAGTAGGCAAAGAGGGTAAAGGTCAGATTACCCACAAAGGAACAGCAGAACTTGTAACAAAACCACAAAAGACAGAGGACAGTACTGTAATTGTCAGTCTAGAATTCTGTACCCAGCTAAGCTATTATTCAAGTGTGAAAGTAACAGGTAATTTTCGACCAAGAGTAAGAGTGTTTACAACCTCAGTCCTTTACCCAAAGAGCGGATGAGAATCAGGAAGAGCTCAGTTGAACCAGGAGGAAGGAGTGAGATGCAGGCAGACTTGGCAAGGAAAGAACTTGGTAACCAGGTTGGCAAATCTAAAGAAATTCTGTTAGTAAAAATCATCAGTAATAATGACCCCTGGGGATGTACAAATGGAGTGTAACTAAACACTGGGAAGCAATGACTCAAAGCTTTGGTGTCTGGGGGGGTGATTGTAGCTCACAGCATTTCAAGGTGCTTGTATTTGGGAGACTTTGTCAAATTAGGTATGCCTATAAAAAGTAGTAAAGCTAGCCACTTAAGCCTAACTTTCAAACAAGTAATGGGAGAATAAAGAAAAAAAAATGAGTAGAAAATAGGAAGAGAGAATTAAGAAGCAAAATTAACGCTTTAAAAATAAACCCATCAGTTAAGAAGCTCATAAGGTTAACACATACAAACTTATAAATTAACATGTTAAATTATACGTTGTTTACAAAATTCATGTCTAGTATATAAACATAAAAATCATTAAAAAAAATAGAAATATAGAGTAGGACTACATTAACCAAAAGTACTCTGAAATAGGTACATTGCTATCAAACTAAATGGTGTTTTAGACACAGAAGCCTTACATAGTGATGTAAAGACTAGACGATATAATAAACTGGGAGTTTATTGCACCCAGCAACATAGTTTCCAATATATAAGTAAAACCTCACAGAATTATTAATGGCTATTTGCCATATACAGTATCAAATTAACACATATCTCATTGAAACTAATAGATAAGTATAAGTATTAAAAGTTTGAGCAACAAATTGACAAGCTTAATCTATTGGGCATATATAAACACCTGCATTGAGCAATTAGAGAAAACACATTCTTACCAATCAAATGTGGGACATTTTAGGAATTGACTCTGCACTAGGCTGTAAAGCAAATCTCTCTCTTTTTTTTATTCATGTTTAATTTTCTGTTTATTCCTTGAAATCGTGGTGTTTGTGCAAGCAAATCTCAGTGGTATCAAAGAATTATCATCACACAGACTATGTTTTGTGACAACAGTGCAATTAAAGCACACCTTTAATAACTCAACCAAAAAAAATTATAAATTACAAGATAACTGGAGTCTGACCAACCACATGGAGATTAAATAAAATAATTTATTTGATGGCTAAATAAGAACTTGAAAAGTTCATATTTAATGCATACATTAGAAAAGGAAAAAGATAGAAAATTTATTAGGAGAAGTTAGGAGTATAAAAATTTGAATAGACAGCCACAGTAGGAGAGCCTCAAGGACTGGTAAACCTTCCTAAAGACTCTTGAGCTCATGAGGAATCCTTAAGATACAACCTAAAACAACAGCACTATTTCATGTCCAAAATATTGGCAAACATTTTAAAGCCCCCAAACACCAAATGCTGGCAAAGTTGTAGGAGAAATACTTTAACTCAGGCACTTTTGAGACCTAGATCGATGAAAGATTTGAAGGCCCTATGACTTATCACTAATGCATCCAGGTGGATGCTTTCGAGGTTATTCCCATACATGTACAAGTTGAGGTGTATAACGATGGTCATTAAACACTGTTTGTATTAGCAAAAATGTGGAAACGATTTACTGCTCCAGAATTGGGAAATGGATAAAGAAATTGTGGTTTGTTTGTACAGTGGAATATTATACAGTAATTAAAATAAATGAACTACATCAACATAGGTAAATCCCAAGCTGACTTTGAGTGAAAAAAAGCAACTAGCAAAGATGATCTTTCAGAGAAAATTCTAAAAATATAAAATAATGCAAATATGAATTGGAATAGTGTAGTTCTCTGGAGAGGAAAGGACAAATAGGGAAGGGTGTGCTTTAGTTACATTCCAGAATGTCTTATTTTTTAAGTGTTGTAAGTCAAATATGGTAAAATATTTGCGTAAAATCTTGCTGTTGTGTACATGGGTACTACTATGTTAATATCTGTATTTTTCTCTGCAACATTTCAGTATTAAAAATTGTTAGCTCAGGGCTTCCCTGGTGGCACAATGGTTGAGAGTCCGCCTGCCAATGCAGGGGACACGGGTTCGTGCCCCGGTCCGGGAGGGTCCCACATGCCGCAGAGCGGCTGGGCCCGTGAGCCATAGCCGCTGAGCCTGTGCATCTGGAGCCTGTGCTCCGCAACGGGAGAGGCCACAACAGTGAGAGGCCCGTGTACCGCAAAAAAAAAAAAGTTGTTAACTCAAAAATAATTAATACTGAAGAGGAGGCAAGAGGAGATAGGAGCAGTATGAACTTTGGAAGCAAAAAGGCTATATTATTGTTATCTGAAGAAAATCTACATAGAAAATCTAAGACAACTCAGAAACTCTTATAACTAAGGTAGTTCAGTGAAGTGGCAAGATAAAAGAAAAATATACATAAGGGACAGAATAATGGCCTCCCAAAGATGTCCACGTCCTAAGTCCTGGAACTCAGAGCATGTCACCTTTCACGGAACAGGGACTTGGCAGGTGGGACTAAGTTCAGGATTTTGATTTGGGAAATGATCCTGGATGATCCAGGTGGGCCAATGTAATTACAGAGGTCCTTATAAGAGAGAGACAGGAGCGTCAGTCACTCAACAGAGATGTGATGATGGAAACCGAAGTTGGAGTTATACAAGGAAGGCACCATGAGCCAGGGCATGCAGGTGGCCTCCAGAAGCCAGGAAAGGCAAGGACAAAGACTCTCCCAGAGCATCCAGAAGGAATACAGCCCTGCTGACACACTGATTTTCGGACCTCTGACCTGCAGAACTGTATGATAGTAAATTTGTGTTGTCTCATGCTGTTTGTGCTAACATGTTAGAGCAACAACAGGAAATTAGTACAATACGTAGAAATATAATAGTTTTCCTATAATAAATGCAGTTCTCTCCATCATCCTATCCCAGTTTTTAAATGGAACTTATCAGGATGGAAGAGAAATAGCCATGGAATTGAGAAACTTGCCCCTCCGTCAAAGTAACATTTGTTATTCTTGATGTCAAAATGTATTTCAGTCATCATAATTTAACGCATGTGACTTTGACATAGCAACAGGCCAAGATCAGTGGGGTGGGGGGCAAGGTTAGAAATGAATAGAGGCAGCTGGGAACACCCTCTGTGGAGGTGACTTTCTGGCAGAGAATTGACTTATGAGAAATAGAAAAGATCAGAGGACTAGGGGTTCTTGGCTGACTGCACAATGAGGGATCAGTTGGGTGTGTTTTAGGAAGAACAAGGGACCCCCCCTCCCTTCCAGTGGGGGAGAATGGGGGGAAGGGAAAGAATATTCCAGAAGCCTTGATACCATGGGTATAAATTAGCTTTTCTTCATTATCTGTCTTTCTGATTTCTTCCTGAAGGCTCACTTTTACTCACCTGCCTAGGGAGGGAGCTCTGAATGTATGAAGTTACCATGTTATCAACCCATAGTTTTGGTCTCTCTCAGCTTCCTGCAGAGCATGAAGGAGGCTGATTCAAGACCTAAGTCAGGACATGGGTGCCGTCTGTGGACATCCTGCCCTTTTGTCCATTCCCAGCTGGACAGGCCTCTTATATGCCATTGCACTCAGAACCTCCCCAGGTATTCTTTCCAGTCCTACCGTGCCCTCCAGCGATGCTTCTCAGTGTTGTTTCGGGTCTGCTCTAAGTTCATTCTTGGATGGGTTTCATTCACTGGAATTGTTGCTTTTCTTTCTCCTCAGTGCTTCAGAGCAGGGACTCTTAGCTCGGGCTGCACACTTAAGAGTTTTGACAAATTGCGCAGCTGGATGTATATTATAAGCTTCCAGGTGACCCCAATGTGAAGACACTGTTGAACCCCACTGGTTTAGACGGTGTAGGATCGAGAAGAGTTGGCAAGAACTCCCCATGTGGACTAGATCACTTCACTAGCTTCTCCTTTGTTTTTTGTAGATTGAGGAAGGTGTGGCTTCAGGAGTGAGTGTTCATCTGGTTGAGAGTGAAAGGAATCTGGATAAATTGGGGAGGAAATCAGTGGAAGGCTTACCCCGGGATCTGATCAAAACTGAGGGTGGTTGCCAGCACTCTGGGAAGGATGCTTTCAAGAGAGTGGTCCCCTTCCCCTTTGCCTGACACCTCCACCTCCCCTCTACCTGCTTGTCCGTGATTTGTTCACCTGGTCTTACCTTGCCCGTCCCTCCTCAGCAGGCATTTCCTGACCCAAGGACTACACTTCTAATGCTGTGCATCCATCACTGCTCTCTAGTTCCAGACATTTTCATCACCCCAAAGTGAGACCCCATACCCATTAAGAGTCACTCCCTTATTTCCCTTCCCCCAGCCTCTGGCAACCACTAATCTATTTTCTGTCTCTGGATTTACCTATTCTGTACATTTCACATAAACAGATATAGCCAAGAGTGCTTTAAAATTTAAATCAACTGTGTAAGGTGCTTGATTCCAGCACCTGTGGATTTCTTTAGTCCTTGTTAGCTAGTGTTGATAACGCATCGGAAAGGGAAATACCAGCACCATCTCTGGATTAAGCCTAATAGATGGTTTCACGGCGCCCTACCCGGTGGGACAAGGTTAACATCAGGGCTCTCTATGCCCACATGGCGCGCAGACCAGGCACGAGCCCATCTGCCCTATTCTGCATTTCTCAAAAAGGAGCCTTCCTGAGGGACACGGAAAGATTAAGTCTAAACCGCTGTCAATTTGTCAGTCAGGGGTGTAGGAGAAGCTGTTGGTGGGAACAGTGAAGAACTCCACGTTTCCATACCCACTCGATGTAAAAAAGATATTCTTGAAAAGAAGTAGACTCTAAGGGTCTATATTTAGAGTCGCTGGACAGTCCTGGACTCTCCCCAGGTTTCCTTCTAAGTTGTACAAAAGGAGCTGTCTCCTTAACTTCCTCTTGTGCTTCCCTCCCTTTCTTCCCTTTCTTCCCTTTCTAGACAAATGTTTCCATGTTGAAGAAGATCCTTCTATATCTTTCAAGATTTTTAGCCAATCGATGGAGACGTCCCAAGTTGATGTATGCAAATGGAGGAAGGCGGTAGCAGAACTACTCTCAAGCCAGTCCCCCAAATGGATGAGATAAGAGCCAGCAGCGACCACCCTGTCTCAGCCCTCAGAACCCTTGGGCCTGCTCCTTTTAGGTTTTTGCTAGTCAGCTAGGAGACACAGATCCTTACACTCTGCCTTTACAGGAAGCCATTGCCTGTGTCTCCCAGGAAGCCATGGTTTGTCAAAGGCCTTTGGAAAAACTGTCATCAGGGTAGAGATGAGAATTATAATTAAACTTGTGCCAGGAAGAAGAGATCATGGTGATTTAATCTGTCATTTGCGATTTTAAATTATAATTTGATGACTATTTTATATGCCCTACTGTGCATTTTAGTGTTATGAGACCTTAATGAAGCATTTGAATCTTAAGCAACTTGTAAGTGTTTGGGCTCTGGCCAGAACATAGTGAAACAGTGTGTTCGCTGTAATCTGGGCAGCCCGGATTATACCAAGTAACCCCTTCAGAATGTCAAATCAGGTCTCATTTTGTTTTCGAAGATGCCGGGTCTAGTGTAGGAGCGTCAGGAATGCAGGTCTCTCCAAGTTGAGCTTGTGCTGTTAATGAACAGCCCTGACATCCAAGATGTCACCCTGCTTGATTCAGCCTCTTTTCAAGGTGTTTGTCATCGACATTTTCGTTACCTCCCAGCTTTGTGTCATCAGTAAGAATTCTCTTCCTCAACTTGAGTGCACTGAGAAAGGGGTTGGCTAGCAGAGAATCAAGGTAGAACCTAATGATGTTGTTAATAATATTCATAAATAGTAATCAGTACTACTTAGTGACCCCTCTCTAGACCGATATCTATCCACTCTCCCCTGTGAAGGAAAACTGTCCCTTCATCTTGAAATTCACAACCTCCCACCTCCTCAGCTATCTCCTATCACCCAACATCTGAGCCATCACTCATCCTGTGAAACTTATCCCCAGGGTCCACTAGAAATCCTATAATTTTTCATCCAATTAAATCAGTAATACAGATATATGCCATCTTTCAATGTTTCACTTCATTAAAAAAGAAAAAAAGAATAGGGACCAACCAGAAATCAAGCCAAAAGATTTAGAACTTGAATATGCTTTATAGGCTTTTTTGATTGCTCTATTATCTTGGTTTTGTCTGTAGTAAGTTCATCTCCTGATGATTGATTGTCTTGTCTGTCTAGCCTTAGTGCGTTTTTTTAGTGTTGGAATTTTAGTGTGCATGTTTACCATGACAGAGAGTATCCCCCAGTCCCTGACCTACACCACACACACACACACACACACACACACACACACACACACACACACACACACACACACACACACCCCTCCCCCTCCCCACCGCTGTCTGCCTTACTTCCTCTTGTTCCCAGTGGCCTTTGTCACCAGCTGAGAAGCTCTTGCCTGTGGTTGAACTGGAACCCCACGTTCCTGCTCAGTGTTTCCAGCCCCACTAGCTCTGTATTTCAGGTACTTTTAGGCCCTGTTTTCCTTCCTGTGTGCGAGCCCTGGACGGCTTCTTCCTGCTCCTGCCCTGGGTGCAGTGGGTAGCAACACTCAACCTTGTTATTTTTGTTCTGTTCAGACCAATGATTAGCTTGTTTTTGAGGATATCTCTATTTTGTCACATGCTTTCTTTTTCTACTTTCTTTATTGTGGCTTGTGCTTGATGGTGTGGTAGAGGGAGGATGGATTTTCTGAATTTGAATTTGCATCATACATTTAGTGAGATTAGATTTAGTGCTTTCAAAAAGAAGTAAAGTTGATTCTCATTACTTGCAGATTCCATATTTGCAAGTTCGCTTATTATCTAAAATGTATTTTTAACCCCAAAATCAGTTCTCAGAGCACTTTCATGGTCATTCATAGACATGCCCAGAGCAGTGAAAATTTTGAATTGCCCAGTGCACACATGCACACATTCCCAGCTGAGCCTGAACAAAATGACACTCTGCCTAATGTCCCAACTCATACTCTAAACAAATGTCCTTTTCGTGGTCTATTTAGTCCCATGTTTTTTGCATTTTTGTACTTTTTGTTGGTAATTTGCCATTTAAAATGCCCCCAATAATGGTGCTGAAGTGCTGTCTGGTGTCCTAAGCACAAAATATGCCTTATGGAGAAAGCATGTGTGTTAGATAAGCTTCCTTCAGACACAAGTTATTGGTCTGTTGGTTGTGAGATCAATGTTAATGAATCAACAATACTTATTAAATAAGGTGTCTTTAAACAGAGCACAATAAAACAAGGTTCTTTATTGATCGGTTGGTTAGAATGCCTGTGACCAGAGGCTCACAGGAACTTAACCCTGTGTTTCCCCAGGAGCAGTGAGTCCGTATTCTCTCATTCAGTGTTTGAGGCAACATTCTAGAACAAAATTACCCCAAATAACGAGAATGGGCTATACCTATGTGAGAGAAAAATCAAAACCTTCCCCAAGCAGATCCAAGAAGGAGCCCCAGGCAGCCTTCTCTCCCAGCCCTCACGGACGTTTGCTCCTCTCTGACTGTTCTCCTTTGCGCAGGGTACTTTCTGAATTTTCTGGAGCCGGTTAACAATATCACCATAGTCCAAGGCCAGACAGCGATTCTTCACTGCAAGGTGGCCGGAAACCCGCCGCCCAGCGTGCGGTGGCTGAAGAACGACGCCCCGGTCGTGCAGGAGCCCCGGCGCATCATCATCCGCAAGACGGAATACGGTTCTCGGCTGCGGATCCAGGACCTGGACACGACGGACACCGGCTACTACCAGTGCGTGGCCACCAATGGGGTGAAGACCATCACCGCCACTGGCGTCCTGTTCGTGCGGCTCGGTGAGTGGGGACAGTCCCCGGTGTGTTGCTTATCAGATAGGAAAGTCCCCAGCCACCAAGCAGCAGATTAATTTGCGGTTTGAAACTGAACACACACAAGTCAGCAGAGAGGAAATCAATAAAACCCTTCCCCGAGGTCTTTCCCATTGTGCATGAGATCCTGGCTTAACCTGTTACCCACTTACTAGTAAGAAAAGAAAATAGGCGCAGATGGAGAGGTCTGTAAACCTGGAGTGCAGAACATAATCTCAGGCAGGCTATGGGTCAGGAGGTCACCCCACGGGGAGGCTGGCCACGCACACTTCAAGCCCAGGCAATCCAGACAGGCACCCACCCACCCACCCACCGAAACCCAGCCCGGCCCAGAGGATGGGCAGGGAGCAGAACGTGAGGACAATTTTGTACTCTTGTGCTTGTCACAGGTGGCATGAAGCAATTAAATGGCAGGCAGGAATATGTCCCTTTCATCCCAGTTCTGTGGAGGTCCCTGCAATGCCCCAGCCGTTCTGTCACCAGTAAGACAGATCTTGTGAATCAAGTTTAGATGAGAAGAGAGAAAAGACAGCAAAAACTCCCAAAATATCTCCTGACATTTCTGCATCAACACAGAGCACCCCTTCCATCCTTGGTGGTTTCCCCCATCCTTGGCATATAATATTGGGCAGGGGCAGAGCTGGAGGCTGAAGACAGCTCACCACAAATGAGCACCCTGGGCTGTGGTTGCCTTTACCACGGGCTGGATTGGAAAAAAAATTATTCCAAATCATGAAGTATTAATAACTTGTCTTTTTTCTTTTCCTTTAGGTCCAACACACAGCCCAAATCATAACTTTCAGTAAGTATTTGCTTTCCTCAAACCATTTTCTCATTCTTTGTGGGCTTCCGTTATATAAGAACCCTGGCTTTAAATCGGGCAAACACATGTTTCTGCTGAATTTGCTAGAACTTGGCTGGACTTCACACAAGGATGGCAATGTGCTTGCTTTTGGTTGGAAAACTGTTACATTTTCCATGTTGAGTGTTAGGGAAAAAGTCATAAAAGCAGGCATAGTTAGTTGCTTTCAGAGATCGTGACCTTGCAGGGCAACTGGAGGCAGTGTAAGTGTACAGACCAGGTTGCCGGGGCTGCCAGGACCCTGGTGTCCTGGACACATTTAAAACAGGGAGGCAGTTACTCTGAAGTCCCAGCGCCACCTTAACTGCATCGCCAGCTGCAGTCTACAAAATGTGTGCTCATCAAGCCTCAGGGAACCTCTACCATAGGCGGGGTCTCAGACCCACTTCAGAGCTGAGGAGACTGAGGCTCAGAGCTTGGCTCAGGGGTCTTCACCCACCTGCGGGCAGGTTCTGGCTGTGAACTCAGGCCTCTTGTTTCCAGGTGTAGCGTCTTTTCTCCTCCGGACCTCACACATCCATGAGAATCACTCTTTTCAGCGCCTGTGTTCTAGGTTAGCCATGGCTGTTGGATTCCTCATTTACTCTTCAGGCATATCAGAAAGCCTTTGCTTCACATCTGAAAGTTCTGAGCAGTGGTGCAGACGCTGTGCTGGTCAGCCAAGCAGTGTTTGCTTCTCTGTGTCCCCCTGCTGCCTCGTAAACCCTGGCCATTGGGGTGAGGTGGGTGGGCAGGGGCCCCTCTTAGCTTACATCAGGTGCCACTTGCAGAAGGCAGATTTTTGAGAACTTTCTGTGCTGAGCCATAGTGTCCAAGCATTTCTCCTTAATAATCATGCATGCATAGAGTGAGAAAAGAAGAAATTGCATCCAGGGCACATCTGTGAGGCTTTCGAAAAGGTATAAGTCATTCAAAAGTTGAATTCTTATTTTTGTTTATATCTATATCTTATGTTGTCTATTTATGTATAACTTAAGTAAATATTATATAATATAAACATATATAATATATTGCAAAATATATAAATAAATAATTTACATATAATTATAATTTATTAAATATATAAATATCAAATATACTTATATTTAATTTTATATACAATTAAAATTTTTTTCTATGTTTTTAAAAAATTTATTTTATTGAAGTATAATTGATTTACTATGTTGTGTTAGCTTACATTTTACTGTGCTAGCCTATCTTTCCATCCATTTCCATTCATCAGTTGTCTTATTTCTTTTATTCATTTCACAATAATTTGCAGATATTTGTACACTTATCCTGAAATATTTTGGATATCATTATGGATTATGATATCATTTAGAAATATTATGGAAATCATTAACAAGAGTTCAACATCTGTGTGCTTACTATTCTTGTTTCTTCTTCTTGAGTTAAAACTTACATACAGGGCTTCCCTGGTGGCACAGTGGTTGAGAGTCCGCCTGCTGATGCAGGGGACACGGGTTCGTGCCCCGGTCCGGAAAGGTCCCACATGCCTCAGAGCGGCTGGGCCTGTGAGCCATGGCCGCTGGGCCTGCGCGTCCGGAGCCTGTGCTCCACATCGAGAGAGGCCACAAGAGTGAGAGGCCTGCGTACCGCAAAAAAAAAAAACAAAAAACCTTATACGATGAAATGCACAGATCTGAAGTATTCTATTAATAAGGTCCAAACAATGCAAAAACCTCTGCAATCTAAACCCTTATGCAGGCACAGAACATTCCTATCACTCTAGAAATTTCCATCATGCAACTTCCTGGTCACTACCCCTCCTCCCCAGGCAACAACTGTTCTGATTTTTTTCTACCATGAGCTAGCTTTACGTGTTTTAGAACTTCATAGAAATGAAAGCCTACAGTACATAGCCACCTGAGCCTGGTTTCCTTCACTTGACATGATTCTCTCGAGAGTCATCTATGCTGTACATGTTTCACTAGGCTGCTGCTATTTATTGCCGAATAGTGTGCCCTTGTGTGACTGTATCAGTTAGTTTTTCCTTGATGGACACCTGAGCAGGTTGCATCTTTTGACATTGATGAATGAGCTGCTGTGGATAGTCTCATACAAGTTTTTTGTGGACATGTATTTTCATTTCTGCTAGGTAAATACCTAGGGTGTGTGCTGAGTTTTGTAAGAAATACCAGACCTTTTCCTAAGGTGATTGTACCACTCTGTACTCCCACCAGCAGGTAGGAGAGTTATGGTCACTGCATTGTTTGCCAGCATTTGATCTGGTTGGTCTTTCTAAGTTTAGCCATTCTGATGTGTATGTAGTGGTTCAAGTGATCTATATGTCATTCTGACTTCTTAAAAAAGTAGTTTTTATTAGTCATTTTAAATTTTCATACAAATGCATTTAAGACATTAAAGTTTCCTCTGAATACCATTTTGGCTACATCTTTTTCCCCTCCAGGCAACATAAGCTTTTGTTTTTTGTTATTTTCTGATTTTTGTTGTATTATTATCAGTGAATTTGGGATGTATTTTACAGTTGGTAGTTGGTTGAGATTTTCTTTGTGGCCAATTTGATACGGTAAATTTTTGTGAATATTTCCTGTTGTTTCAAAAAATAAATGTGCTCTGATGGTAGCCAGTACACAATATTTCGATTCATGTATTAAATTACATATGTTAAGTGTGTTATTAAAAGTGTCTGTATGTTTTGTTCACATTGACTACAGATATCTGAAAATATATGAAAGTTGTCTATACTCATTTCGGATTTGCCAATTTCTATCAGTTTTCTATTTTTTTTAATTTTGAGTTTACGTTCTTAAATACCTCCAGGTTTGAGACTATATAGCTTTTGTTTTGTCTTGTTTTTAAGTCTCTTTTGAGGCTTTTTGCCTTGAATTCGATTTTGCCTAGCAATAATATTGCTCCACCTACTTTCTTTTTATTTGCATTTGCTAGAAAGCTGTTTTACTATTCCTGTCCCACTTTTCCCCTCAACCTTTTTGTGTTCTGTTTTATGTAGGTCTCTTGTAAATAGCATATAAGTGCAGTTGTTTTAGGAGTGGGTGAGGAGGGGGGTTTGCCAATCTGGAAGTCCAGGTTAATACATGTAGGTTAAGTTCATTTTGACAAAAATACAATACTCCATTCTGTGAGTCAGTCTCACTTTAATTGTCCATGTGTTTACTCAGTGAAGGTTAGTTGTTTTCACTGATGCAGACCATCTTATGTAAACATCTTTGCATGTCTACTTGTCCCAGTGGGCGAGAGTCCTCCAGCAATAGAAGTCTGGGAGTGGAATTTCAGGTATTCACTTCCCACCTCTACCATGTATGGTCAGATAGCCTTCCAAAGTGATAAAGGACTTCATAGTCCCACCAGCAAAACATGAGTTCTTATTTCCCCATGTTTTCCAGCACGTGGTATTATCAGAACTCAAAATTTTGCCAATATCTTGGGTGTCAATTGTAAGTTATAGTAATTTTACATTAGATTTCACCAGTAAACAGTGAAGTTGAACATATTTGTATTGGTTTAATAACCATTGGATTGCCAGTTCAAATACAGTCCATTCTTATTTATAGACTCAATACTTGCAAATTTTCTTACTCAGTAAAATTTCTTTGTAACCCCCAAATCAATACTCAGGATGTTTCCATGGTCACTCATGGATATGCACGGAACAGTGAAAAATTTGAGTTGCCCAGTGCATGAGTTCCCAGCTGAGGTCTGCCGTCTTGTTTCACCTCTCCTGCTGTGCATGTGTCCTTTTCTGGGTCTGTTTATATTTTGTGCTTTTCGTTGGTGATTTTGCTGTTTAGAATGGCCCCAAGCACAGTGCTGAAGTGCAGTCTTATGTGCCTTGTGGGGGAAATATGTTAGATAAGCTTCATTCAAGCATGGGTTACAGTGCTGTTGGCCCCAAGCTTAGTATTAATGAATCACCAGCCACATTAAATAGCACATCTTTAAACAGAAACACACATAAAACAAGGTTATGTATTGATTGGTTGATGAAAATGTTATGACCACAGACTTGCAGAAAAGTATCTCTTTATTTGCCTTAGGAACAATGGCTCAGTATTTGCTAATTCAGTGTTTGTGGCAACTTTATAGAAAATGACTGTCACAGATAACCAGAGTCGACTGTATTTTGTCCATTTTTCATTAGGACGTTTGTCTTTTTCATATTGATTTGCAAGAATTTTTTTTTGCAGGAGTTTTAAAATATATTCTAGATATAATTTTTACACAGTTTCTACTCCATCTAGAATTGATTTTTATGCTGGTATCAGCTAGGGTTCTACTGTAATATTTTCCTATCTCAATGGCCTAGTGCCTTGGCATCATCTAATGAATAGCCCCATCTGTAATCATTAAATTTAATGTCACTTCTGCCATCTGTGAAATTTCTATACATGTGGATCTGCTTCTAGGCTCTCTATTCTGTTCTAGTAACTTTTGTGCCTGGAATAAATACCACAATATTCTAACACTATATCTTTGTAATATATCTTGCTATATGTAGAGAAATATTTTCGCTTATTGCTATGGATTAAATTGTGCCCCCCACCAAATTCAGATATTGAAGCTTTAACCCCCCTTCATGCGGCTGTATTGAAGATAGGGCCTTTAAGTAGGTAATTAAGGTTAAATGAGGTCTTAAGGGTGGGTCCCTGATCTGATAGGGTTGGTGTCCTTATAAGAAGAGGAAGATACATCAGAGAATGCTGTCTCTCCTTTCTGCCATGTGGGGACACAGCGAGCAGGTGGCCGTCTGAAAGCTGGGAACTAAATAATGTTGCACTTTGATATTGAACTTAACCTCCAGAACTGTGAGAAGTCAATGTCTGTTGTTTAAGCCCCCCAGTCTGTGGTATTTCTTATGGCAGCCTGAGCTGGCTAATACAGCTACCTTATTATTATACCATTTTTCTAAATTATCTTGACTGTTATCTTTTATTCTTCCATATGAATTTTATCAGTTT